GAAAGTATACTGGAGGAAGTACATGGGGTATATGCAAATACTATCCTGTTTTATATAAATAACTTCTGCATCTGTGGATTTGGTGGGGTGAGGGTAGTGCAGGGAGCAGCTTCTGGAACCAATTCCCTGGGGATGCAGAGGGATGACTTAACCTTGCATTGTGGGTACCTCACATTATAGGAAGGTGCGTACCTCTTTCTACACCAAATCAGCCAGAAACTGTAAAGGATAAAGATGTGGATTTACATCTTACTTAATTCTTTCCCTTTTTATCTTAAATAGAGTTTCTTGTTAGTACTGAAGGTCTAAAGGCTAACACGAGAGGAATAGTGAGAGGACTTGCCTAACCCGTGAACTCGATGTGAACAGACCTTGGTAGTTTTGTTGTTGGCCATATATAGCTCAATGATTTGTCCACTCTGGGCCTAGTAGCTACATTCTCTCTTTAATATTCAACCTTTTAGCTCTCATCAGTATACCATATATATACCTAAATTTCATGAGGTGCTTTTCTTCATTTTTATTAGTGCTTTCTCTTTTCTGGTACTTGAAACGGCAGAGGGGAGAGGTGCGGTGGCAGGCTCAAACTTTTGACCTCAAGCCATCTTCCAGGATGGTGGGATTACAGGCACGAGCCACCAGGCCCGGCTATAGATTCTGTCTTAAAGCCATAGACAACAAATACGCTACCCTGATCCATTGGAACACGTTTTTATGCTGTTTGTTCTAGAAAAATTGGTTAAGAAATCATAGAAAGATCAAAACAGTTCTCTTAATTTGGAAACATGGGGTTATCATCTTTGTGCATGAGAGATCATATGATTATAAAATGACTCCTTTTTGGCTTTTATATGTAATAGTGTTAGATTATAACATTCAAATGGTGAATATTGGCCCAGTGGTTGGGGGAAAGTTCTTGACACCTTGTGACTATGTCTAATCTAAAAGCATTGTAGATCATAGCACTTAATGGCCTAGTCTTACTCTCTGAACAATAAAAATACTGATCTGGTATATAGCATTGCTTAATCCAAGAAAGTAGATATATTTAAAGCTAATAGTGTTTGGAAATCTTCTAATGAGATTTTGGGTTTAAAAATGTCTCAGATTAAAATGCTTAACCTATAAAACAGTTGCTGTATAAGAGTAACTCTCCCTCCACCCTTCCCACTCCTACTCAAAGAAAAGAAAAGCCATATTTGGACATTTTCATCTGAATGTAAATTACTATCACACCAAATGGAAGCTTGTGGGAATGTTCATAGCCTTTTAGTTATTTGTAGGATTGCTTCATTGTACTACATTTAAGTATAATCTGTTCAGAGAAAAATGAAATTTGTCCTCCTCAAACAAACTTGATATTATAGCTGCTTTAATAATGGCTATTGTATTCTGAGCATCAGCTGAGAACATAATACTAAGACTGTGTATTTAAAGTTTTGAACTTTGATATTTGTCCATGAAGAGCCTTCTTTTATGGCAATGGTGGTTGCTGAGGATGGTTGCTGAAAATTTGTGATTATAAATTTTACCTTTAATCATGCAGTAACTTGTTCGTAGAATATGTTGTCTGATTCCTCTCCTTTCCCTTTACCTTGATCACAGAGAGGTACAAAAAGCAGTCAACACTGCCCAGGGATTGTTTCAGAGATGGACAGAGCTCCTCCAGGACCCCTCCACGGCAACAAGGGAAGAAATCGACTGGACCACCAACGAGCTGAGAAACAACCTCCGCAGCATAGAGTGGGATCTAGAGGACCTTGATGAAACCATCAATATCCTTTTCTGTGGTGTCTGTTCTGTTTGGGGTAAATAGACAAATAGACAAGTTTTTATCTATATGTCTCTAGTATATAGATGAAACATTTCCTTTCATAATCAATTGATATTGTTCTTATTTGTACCATGACACATTTCAAATAATTGCCTAGTAAGCTATGGGAGAGTAGCCAAATTCTTCTACAGTGCATGGCAAATACTGTAGTACAAAGGCAGCATAGTGCAACGGTTATGACTTTGGACCCTAGAGTCAGACTGCTGGTTTCAAGTCCTGGCTCCACCAGTGGAAAGGAAAAAAACAAAACAAAACAAAAAAAACATATTTTTTCCTCTCCACTCTCACATTCAGCACAATACATTATTTCTGACACCAGTTGTGGGGAAGACGTTTCTTCATACACCGAGCAGTTCTCTAGCAGATACCAGCTAGATGTCACACGATTCAATTCAATTCTGACACTATCTACCTAGAGATAGCGCTAGATCCCACAGGTTAAGAACTCAGTTCCGCAAGACTGCCGCCACTTCAGATGCAATTCAAGGCTCAGACTGTGACCTGTGCTTCTGAATGGCTGACTATAAATTGGGGTTCTCACAGCCCCTTCCTTAGATTGGATTAATTTGCTAGAGCAGCTCACAGAACTGAGGGAAACACTTTATGTTTACCCATTTATTATAAAGGATATTACAAAGATTCCAGATGAACAGCCAGGTGGAAGAGATGCATAGGGTGAGGGATAGGAGAAGGGTTGTGGAGCTTCCAGGCCCTCTCCAGGTATGCTACCCGCTGGGAACCTCCATATGTTTAGCTGAGTGCTCCCTGAACCCTGTCCTTTTGGGTATTTACGGAGGCTTCATTATGCGGGCCTGATTGATTACATCATTGGCCATTGGTGATCAACTCAACCTTCAACCCTTTTCCCCTCTTCCAGGGATGGGGATGAGGGGCTGTAAGTTTCAACCCTCTAATTACTCACTTGGTTCCTGGGTGGGGGGGAAGGTGCAGCCCCCAATCTTAAGGCTATCTGGGAGCCACCAGTCATCTGATTAACATTCAAAAGACACTCTTATCACTCTGGAGATTCCAAGGGTTTTAGGAACTGTGTGTCAGGAACCAGGGGCAGAGACCAAATATATATTTCTTGTAGTATCACAACCAGTTACTGTGACTTGGGCACATTGCAAAATCTCTCTGTGCTTCAATTTCCTCCTCAGTAGAAAGTTAGGATAATAAGAGTACCTAGCTCATAGGATTAGTATTAGGGTTATACAGGTAAAGAGCTTAGAATGGTGCCTGGCACACAGTAAGCTTCTATGATAGTGTTAGTAGTCATTATTACATAGAGGTATATACAGACCGATGTGTTATACATTGGTAATTAGACATCAAAGGAAAATCTTTTTGTAGACTGTGTTCTTCCTGTTTAAAAAGTGATGTTACAGTGCCACTGTTGATTGGAGAGGTATCTTGTACCATGAAATTGCACTTAGTAAAACCAGATCTGTTATGCTAATTCATACGGTTGATGTTAATTAAGTCCACTGATCTGATAAATGAGATAACTGTAAAAATGGAATTATTAGCCTATTTTCAACTGGAAATCCCCTTCAACCAAAATATTGGTTAGAAGATATATCATGCATGTTGAGCCTTGAATTGCATCTGAAGTGGCGGCAGTCTTGCGGAACTGAGTTCTTAACCTGTGGGATCTAGCGCTATCTCTAGGTAGATAGTGTCAGAATTGAATTGAATCATGTGACATCTAGCTGGTATCTGCTAGAGAACTGCTCGGTGTATGAAGAAACGTCTTCCCCACAACTGCATGTTCTGAGTTCTGCTTTGTTTTGTCCTAAGTGAGATAGAACATAAAGGAAACCAACTTTTGTTAGTATCTCTTCCATAGCTAGTACAGATTCATAGGCAATTGATATGTGTTGATATATGGAGTACATAATTTCTATTATTCATAATGATCACGGATACTTTTTAAATTATTAAAAGGCAAGTGTATTCCCTAAAATTAGTGGAATAAAATACGTGAGGGGGAAGGATTAAAAGCACAGTCATGGGGAGGTACTTCTTCCCTTGACAGAGAAGGGAAGGAAAAAAGATTGGGGGAGCTAGAGAAATTGTGAGATAAACAGGACAAAAGTTTTAATAGGTATTCATCATTCATTTACCAAATATTTGTTGAGTATACTGTGTCAGGCTTTTTGTTATTGAGATTAGATTAATAAACAAAACAGTGTGCCAGCCATTATAGAACTTTGGGTGGAGTAGGGGTGGGGGACAGGTAGTAATCAAATAATAACACAAATACATACTTGCAGACTATGAGAGAGAAGTACAGAGAGCAATGTGAATGTCTGACATGGGGCATAGGACCAGGCCTGGGGGAGAGGAGTGGGGTAGCTTCCCTGAAGAATGCTTGATCTCTAGAGTAAGAAGTAGAGTTAGCATTTTGGCATAAGGGGAAATGGCTCTTGGAAAGGCAGTTGAAAAAGGCTTGCAAAATCTGTCATAGGAAAAGTGATCAGGAGTCAAAAAAGGATAGATACAAGTGTTGACAAACATCAGGAAGAGCCCACCTCAGCTGTGGTCAAACAGCCATGGATTTGTAGTGAACCCAGTCAACAGGGAGGGGCTGTTTCTTTGCCTGGCAGGTCATCTCTGTGCTGGGGTAAAAGGTTCCTTTAGAGTGATTGGCAGAGAAAATTTGAGTGTCAGGTCGACTAGATTTTCAGAAAGTCTGGGCCAGATTTTATTGCTTGCAGGTGAGAGAGAGATTGTGTATTTTAACAGGATGTTGTTTGTTAGACTTCTCATGATGAAATTGCTTTACCTTAACTTTTTGACCCACGCATAGTTGAAGCAAATCCTAGAAAATTCAACCTCGATGCAACTGAATTGAGTATAAGAAAAGCCTTCATTACAAGTACTCGGCAAGTTGTTAGGGTAAGAAATACGATCTTATTGTATTATCTGTGTAAGAAATAGCCAGACTTACTAGAACTCTTTCCCTTAATCGAAAACTAACAGGTCAAAACTCTGAAACTACTTTTTAATATGAATTAATTTGCCCTTTTCCCACATACAATTTTTCTGATTGAAAAAAAGGAAATCTGTTTTTAATATTGTGAGGCTTGTTAGAACAAAAATGAGACAGTAAACTGCGGGCTTTGGGCAGATTACTTTAATGATATCATCCTGCTTGTCCATACCTCTAGTTCAAACCAGTTATCTTTTTACTTCTTGGTGAACTCTATTTCTTGACAAAAGGAAGAATTACTATTGTAGAAACCATTTGGTTTCTTGATTGATTGGTAATCCCTCTGCATTGTTGAAGAGTGACTCTTTTTGGGGTTTGGATGGCGGCCTCTTCCGCCATCTGAATTGCTTCTGGAACTCTTGCAACCCATGTTACTGACATTTCCATATACAACTGCTTGACAGCCTTTCCGGAGTTATCCAGAGCAAGCAGGCATCTACCAGAGTGTAAAAAATGATCCAAGTGATCAAATCTTTAGTCCTAAATTATTTAGAATAATACCCATTATTAAAGAATCTAAAAGAAAATATCATTTAAGTAAAATCTTGTGTCATTAAGATATGTTTTGTATTTTGAAACTATGTGGCTAAGCCATTTGATTAGCATAACTAGATGTAAGAGAACCAGCTGTCTTTAACATATGTACTAGAAAGCAGCTTCCTTGAATAAAAAGACTTGGGATCATACCAGTGCTAACATATGGCTTTTTAAGAGTCATCTTGGGCAGGAACCTTGGTATGTGTTTGCCAAAGACTTTATATCATATGATTTCCTTTTGAAATTATTTCAAATGGTAGATTATCATTGAACTTTATATATTCTTGTTTCTTGTTTTATTCAGTACATGCCATTCTATATACATATACAAAATTGTTTATAAATAAACCCATGTTTTAATGTAGCAGAAACCTCTCTGGACCTCAGATGCCCCATCTATACAATGAACATTTGGATTAGACCCCTCTAATTTCTAGCCAGTTCAAAACGCTATGCTGATGAGGAAGCCCTGTTGTTAAGTGCCATATTTTTTGTAAGATGAGTAATTCCTCAGTTATTTTTTTTGTAAATGGAGTTTGCTTTTTTTTTTTTTGGCAGTAGGTGTTTTCGAAGGACACTTCTGTAGATGTTAATGTTTAAATGGTGCATCATAGTGAAGAATATATTCTTGACCTTAATCATTATATTTGTTCTTTCTGCAAGGTAGTACTTATAAATTTTGCAAATTGAAATTCACAGGTCAGTATATTGAAAGTTAAGTTAGTTGGTATATAGAAGTAGAATCCAAAGTTCATTTTCTCTGAAAAGCTTTTTAAAGTACATTCTTGGAAAGAAGTATTCTAAATCAAGTCAATACATCAAAATGTTGCTGTTCCTTCTAGATTTGAGATCTAAACCATGCTCAACTGTGTGGTCCAATTGAATATTTTAGGGTTTTTAATCATTCTTGTTTTAATTTATGATCCTTTTTTGGGAAGCTGTTAGTATTTGTTAGTAGTGGGCTAGTGGTACCCAACTGAGCTTTTGCTGATCTGATTTTAATAAATTCTCATTGAAAGTCCTATAGAAGAGAAGGAAATAGCCATGATGCTAACTTGCTTAAAAATAAAAAACAAAAACAAAACCCACTTTGTGCTGATTCAGTATTACTGCACTGAGCTAAAAGAGTGTATATAGAAATCTCTGCATTCTGGGTAGAGGAGATTGATCTGCCTCAGGAGTTAGCAGATTTGGGGACTGAGACAAGAGCAAATTCAGATTAGGAATTGGTGCACATTTATGTTAGCTTCTCTGTTATTATATTATTATTAGGGGCTTTTGTTTAATGTTGCTCTAAAATTTTGATCTTATTTTTGAAACAGTGCTTTCTCCTTTTAGGTAGAGGAATCAGTGATAGTCTATATGGTTTTTTGGTATTTTATTTATTTATTTATTGCTTCTACATGAAGAAGTAAATCTTTCTCCTGTGTTTCTTTTTGATTAATAGCCATTGGTTGTGCTTTTAGTTAGCCTCCCTGGTTTGAAGAGTCTCATCGTGTATGTTTTTCCAAGCATCTTCTAAGTTTTTGCAGTTTTTGTTAAGTTTTGCTGGTAGTTTTTACTGAAGAAAGCAAAATATTCTAGTTTTTGTATACATATCCTTGATATTTTTGAGGTAATTATTTGCACATTTGTGTAGAAACTTATCCATCAAAGATTTTTGCATGTGGAATTTTTATGTTTGGGCAATGTGCCCCAGAAGTGACTTTGGTTTTACTTTAGTAGTGAAAGGTTTTGCAGTATATGGCAGAACAACAATGAAAGAAACCCGGGATCTAGGCTAAGCTGTGACCTTATTAAATTCTAATCATGGTAAGTCATTCAGCCTCTCTGGATCTGTTTTATCAATGAAATGATCTTTACTAACATACTCTCTTTTAACTTTCTAAGTTAAAATCAGAACTGTTACTCTCCTTCCCAAAAAAATCAACCTCTTTCAACACAAGAATTGTATACAGTCAATTGTAAGTCAAGATAGCAGTGGTTTTGGTAAATCAAAAAGGGCAAGATATCCAGTGTGTGCACAGACGACATTGGGATGTGAGAGCTGTGAATGGGAAGCCCTGAGATTTATGATGCCACATTCATTCAGCTTAGAAGACAGTGTGAAATGGAAACAGGGCATAAATAACCAGGAAATTTTGTTGTTCTTTTGGCAGATAAACCATATTTTATTGGGACTAACTGCTTCTTCACTGCTAGTTCTAAACTTCATGTGTTAGAAAGAAGATGAGTAATTATGTTTTTGGCATGATAGGTTGTTATAAAATGTTTAAAATGGTTTAGTAGCATAGTTTAAAATCCCAAATCCTGATATGAAGGTGATCTGTTGTATGGTATCTGGTGACTTTTAACTTAGATAAAACACCATCTTAGAAGTGAAAGCCGAATCTCTTTACCTGTGGTGGTCACATACAGGATGCCCACTGCCCAGCTGTGCAAGAATCTACCTCATCAGGGCTAACACACACTCT